TATGAGTCGGAACCGACTCCACTGCACATAACCACCACCACCTCAGACTATTTCGGAATGTTTAGCCACTGAAAACCTATGAATAGCAGTGAAACACTGTCAGCTAGCACTAGGTGGAAGGCGGGCAGTTACTAACTCAAAGGCACTTAACTACAACAATGCATGAATAAATAGATGTTTACAAAATGAGATATTAGGCAAAAAAAAAAAAAGGATATATATATATACATGGATGAACCTGGAAAACATTACTCTAAATGAACAAAGCCAGTTCCCAAAGGCCACATTGTATGATTTCATTTCTATGAAACTTCCAGCATAGGAAAATTCATAGAAACAGAGGTAGATAGGCGGTTACCAGAATGACTGCTAATGGATACAGGTTTCTTTGTGAAATGAGAAAAATAAGTATGTATAGATATAATCCATATGGAGAACAAAATAGCATTCAGCACAGGTGAGCAATAATTACAAATGCAAGCTCGGATTACTTTCTTCCAGTGAGCAATCAATGAAACTGAAAAAAAAAAAAAAATGAAGTAATTTCACAATTCAGTACAGGAATATCTTCACCACAAGTATACAACATCACAACATTTATTAAGCAGCTGAACATACACTGTCACCTACTGGTAAAATTTTCTACATGGCAAATAATGTTTTCATTTTTCCAGTGAAATGCTTGGGAAACACAGGACAAATTAAAAATAGTAAATGGAAACACAAGAACTAAATAAAAATTTCATTGGAAAAGAAATGCAATTAAGTAATTTTTGCTGAATTTCCTTATATCAAAAGACCTTCAAAGTTGTTTCATTTTCTTACAATACTTCATATTTCCACGGTCCCATTCCTCTTGAGAACCTCAGAGTTTTATATATGGCCAACCTTTTGATTATGATGTAACAGTAAACTAGATAAATGTTCTCTGTAATAAGATTCTAGTAAAAGATGTACCAGATTTTATTTAAACAGTTACTTGATGCCACAACTTAAGTGCAGGTAACTCCTACCATGGGATTACTTTGTTGCCATAGAAACAATAGAATGTAATGAGAAGAGTACATGGGGCAACAACCTCCACTCCAAATAACAACAACAACAAGAAAACCCATCACCAAAACTCAAAATATAAATGCACTGCTTCAAAGCCAGCTGGAAGGAGTGATAGGTGACATGTCCTTAAAAGCTTTTAACAGTAAAAATTCCATGAAAAGTTGTTTAGGAAAAGAGTTGTATTAACTTATCAAAAAATTATATGTATTTTTAAATCTGCTAAGGAGTCCTTGTGGCACTGCAGGGTAAATTCTAGACTTCTAACCACAAGGTTGGCAGTTCAAACCCACCAGCTACTCCATTAGAGAAAAGGTGAGGCTTTCAGCTCCAGCAAAGATTTAGTCTCAAAAACCCTATAGAGGGTTTACTAGGATTCGGAATCAACCTGATGGGAGTGGTTAGGGTTTGTTTTATTCACCTATTTGGTAATTCTAGAAGATCTGGTAGCGTAGTGGTTATAAGTCAGACTGCAAACCTCAAGGTCAGCAATTTGAAACTACCAGCTGTTGTGTGGGAGATGATGAGGCTTTCTGCTCAGGTAAAGATTGACAGTTTTGAAAACCCTATACAGGGTCACTATGAATCGGAACCAATTCCATGGCACACCAACACCATTGGTAATTCTATCAACCTTTTTTTTTTTTTTTAAAGAACATTTGAAAGTCCAGTACTACACTAATCATAACAATAGTTATTTGAAAGTAAAAACTAATTTGGCACAATGACAAATATTCTACTAGTGAAAGTTGTTGTAAAGTGTCATCACGTCATTTCTGACTCATAGCAATCCTGTACAGGGCTTTGGAACAGCTGGTGGGTTTAAACCGTGACCATGTGGTTCTCTGTCCAGTGCTTATCCTACAGCGCTACACCAGCAGTCCAGTCAAAGTGGTATACGATATTTAACTTATTGTTTCTATTTGACTAATTTTATATGATTCTCCTGGTGTGGCGCTATAGATTAGCAATGGACTGCAAACCACAAAGTCAGCAGGTCAAACCCATCAGCTGCTCCTCAGAAATTCTACACAGTTGGAAAGGACTCGACAGCACTTAACCACCACCCCCAATCTGGAGTCCTGGTGTGGTGCTACAGGATAAACATTGGACCGCTAACCACAAGTTCCGTGGTTCAAACCCACCAGACACTGCTTGGAAACTCTATACAGGGTCACTATCAGTCAGAACTGATTGGACAGCACTTAACTCCCAATCTAATTTCTCTAGTGTAGCACCATGTTCAAGCTAACATGTCAATCCTGAGAATCTGAGCACAATAAGTCTCTGAAGAGTAGCTAGTAAATGGCAATCAAGGAATTACTTCCTTTTATAGTACTGCTGTGGCACTGTAGGACAATGTCAATTTCAACAGTAAGGTGGGCGGTTCAAACACACTAGTTGCTCCTGGGAAACCCTATTCAGAGTCACTATGAGTGAGAATGTACTTGATAGCACTTAAAAGCCTCGGAATCCCTATGCTGGGGGTCACTTTGAGTTGGAACTGATTCCATGGCTGTAAATCTTTACTGGAGCAGACAGCATCCTCTTTCTCCCATGGAGGAGCCACTGAGTTTGAAATGCCAACCTTGCTTATCTTACATGGCTCCTACTGAAGAACTATGGAGCAGTTTTCTGAACACATGTAGTTACCACGAGTTGAAATAGTCTCCACTGCAGAGTAATGTACTGGACCAAAAGGATTGTTTGAGTCACAAGGTTGGTGGTTCAAACCCAACAGCTGTTCCTTGGGAACCCTATACAGAGTCACTATGAGTTGGAATTGACTTGATGGTACTTAACAAACAGTACTTTAAAAGCAGACGAGTAAATAAAAACAGGGAAAAAGCAGCAAGAACTGTGACTCAGGCTTCAAATAAATTGGATCCTGGTTTCCATATTAGTATTTGGGGAGCCAACTGTTGGGCAACTTTAAAGTCTCAATTTGATGTAAGGTATGGCTGTAGTTGTATGGCTTTCATCTATCTTTCTCCCATATATACTTAAGATTTTGCATTGTATCATACAAGAGTCATCATCTATATGAAGCCTGGCACCTCATCTTTCCACACAAGCTTTTCTTATCCTTTGATTCTTTCCTTATTCTTATGATGCTGTGTCCCCCACCCCCACCCCAAGCACACTGATGCAGAGAGATGATAAAATGAGTAAGCACGTTGTAGCTACTCCCGGTCAAAGAGCAGAGACACTGGCGTGGAAAATGGGGTGAGGAAGCAGAACAGAAAAGCATAGCTTGGGTATTCATCTAATAAATTGAAGTTACAAGCTTTCCTATCACATTCTTGTTACCCCTTCCTGCTGTCACTAGACTTGAAACTTTCCTTTTCTTCTTAGAAACATGAAATAGTGGTAGTTGTGCGCACCCGAGTACATTCCTACTCATAGTAACCCTACAAAGGGTTTTCGAGGATGTACATCTTCACCGGAGTGGAAAGACTCATCTTTCTTCCAAGGAGCTACTGGTAGATTCCAACAGTTGACCTTGCTGCAGTTAGCAGCCTAGTTTGTACTCCACTGGTAGCGTAGTGGTTATGAATCGAGCTGCGAACCTTAACGCCAGCAGTTCGAAACCACCAGCCGTTCCGCGGGAGAAAGATTAGGCTTTCCGCTCCCGTAAAGATTTACAGCCGCGGAAACCCTGTACAGGGTCGCTATGGGTCGGAACCGACTCGAAGGCACTTAACAACAACAACAAAACACTAAAATAGAACCCTGTACAGGGGTTTTGCTGTCTGGCGCTGTGGGTTAATGCGCCAGACAGCAAAGTCATTTGAAATACAAGAGCAGTAGTTCAAGCTCACCAGCTGCTCCTTGGAAACCCTATACAGGGTCGCTATGGGTCAGAATCGACTCGATGGCACTTAACAACAACAAACACTAAGGTAATTTCTCCAGGTTGCTGGTTATCAAAATAAAGCCTCAATCGGAAGCACTGCTAATTTGAGCCGTTTTATCACAAGCTAGGAAATGATTCTTTATAGACACCCTGTCTACTCCCCACCCAAACCACAGACTACCTCTGTTCTCCAAAAAGGCAACTGCCAGGAACAATTTCAAATGTATGCCAATCTCTGGAGGAAAAAAAACTTTTCAATCACTTCACTTTTAACAACCTGGTTACAAGAACCTGACCTTATTTTTTTCCTGAAAAATATAGGACACCGAAAGGTCTGCAATTTCTTTTCCTCTACTTTCTACTCTGGCCGCTGACAGTATCTACCAACGAGGTATCTTCATAAAGATCTTTTAAAAGTTTCTTAGATAAAAAAACTCGCCCTCGGTAGTCAAACATTATTAAGTCCCTACCTGTCTTTAAAAGGTTAATCTTCACCACAGACAGCACCCAAAGTGCTGTTTTTGTTTTTCAGTTTTTTGTTATAATTCCAAAATACTTTAAAAAAAAAACTACTATTAGCAATGATCCAAAGAGCTTGCAGGTAAAAGGTTAAGAGAGACAGGTGTGATTCCTTCCTTTTCGGAGCGCCTTGCATCAGAGTCCCGCAGAGTAGTGGGTGGGGGAAGGCAGCCTACCCCCGCCTTAGACTTGCACCAGAACAGCCTCGATCTCCTTCCTGCCCAGCATTCCCTCCAGACCCCCCACGTCTAGCACGCCTACCTCCTCCTTCGCTACAAGCCCACTGCCACCGCAGACAGCCTCCGGCCATCTCCGGCAGCCACCTGTCCGCCCGCCCGGACGGCGCCACCCCACAGTCGCCTCGTGCCCAAGAGCCCTAGGTCAGTGCCGCCCGCGCCCCTGCCGCCACCGGCCACTACCTTCACTCAAAATGGTGGGCCCGCGGGCCGCCAACTTACGAAACGCGCGGTGTGGTCGGCCCGCCCGCCCGCCCGCCCGCACACAGCGGCGCTGGCTCCAAACTTGGCAGGCCCGACAGGCCCAAGGAATCGCCCCGCCTGGCAGCACTCACCCACGGATCGGTAGCCCAGGATAGCGATCTTACGGGACTTGGACTGCGGCATCTTCTCAGCCTCCCAGGCCCGCCGAACTTCACCACCCGCGGCGGCGGCTCGTGCTGCTGCTGCTGCTGCTGCTGCTGCTGTGGGCGGCGGTGGGAGTCACATACAGGGCGCGGCGGTAGCTCTCGTGCTCTCCCCTACCCGGCCCTCACTCCAACCGCCCGGAACTGACCGTGCGCCCCGCCCCGCCTTGTGCACACGTGACCACCCTCAGTGAGCCCCTAGCCCCGCCACGACAGCCGTCACTGCGCCCCGCCCCGCCCGCCCCCTCCTGAAAAGTCAGGCGGCTGCGTAAGGGGTGCGCTTTACTTTCAAGGGAAAAAAAGAATGCAGATTTTGCCCCGAAAAGTCACGACTTAAACTCGCTGCGTCATTACCCTCCCACCGTCTTCCGCCGCTTACTAATTACGCCAGCTCTTCCCAAGCGCTGATTGGCCACCTCCCGCTCCCTCCCCCAGCCATTGACGCTACGGAAACTCTCTCACCCATTGGGAGCAGAGGAGAGGAGGAACGAGAGGTGTGGCTGCGGCTTGACCAGGAAGCCGCCAGCCTTGGAGCTAAAAATAAACGTTGGCTGCAAACGTGCTGCTGTGCGCCACCGAAGTTGGAAGGTTTTGAAACTTGGAAAAGTAGCTCGGTGATGGCGACCGAAGCACGCTGAGGGTCAGCGTGGCGGGAAAGACGACTACAGGATGACTCGCATGGATAACCATTTGGCACGGGCCACGGCCACACAGTCTTGTGGGTTGGAAGGTTGGCAATCCGTCATCTGTGTTTTCTCTCATTTTTCGATCATTTTACCAATTTAGCCTGCATTTGAGGATCTCGGTGGTGACTACGCGTCCACCAAGATTGAAGGACCGCGAAAATAATGAATGGATTCTGCTTTAATTCAAAATGATAGAAATTTAAGTGTGCACCGCAGTCGCAGATGCTGATCGCAGCCCAACTGTCGTGTGGGAGTTAGCACCTCTTCCAAGAAACAGTTGTTCTTGTTATGTGCCGTGAAGTCGGTTCCGATTCATAGTGACCCTGTACAGGGTTTCCTAGGCTGTAAATCTTTACAGGAGCAGAAAGCCTCATCTTTCTCCCGCGGAACAGCTGGTAGTTTCAAACTGTTGACCCTGAGGTTCACAGCCCGATTTGTAACCACTACGCTACCAGAGCTCCTTTCAAGAAATAGTAGCCGTGTTTTAAAAGTCAACAACAACAACAAAAAAGTGCTGAGTTGATTCCCACACATAGCCAGACCGTATATAACAGTGTTGCTATTTAGTGCCGTCGAATTGTTTCCGACTCATAGAGACCCTGTATAGGGTTTGCCAAGAGCAGCTAGTGGGTTTGAACCTAGAGCTTATGCTACCAGTGCCACACCAGAACCCCATATGACAGAGTAGAATTACCCAAAGGGTTTCCAAGATGAATCTTTATGGGCTGAACTGCCACATCTTTCTTCTGTAAATAGCTAGTAAATTCCAGCTACCGGCCTTGAATAGCAACCAAACGCTTCAGCCACTGTGCCACCAGGACTCCTATTAATTTTAAACACTTGTGTGGAATACAGTAGACATGTTATTAAAAAGCGGTTACCCTGAGGCACGTTAAAGAGGAGACATGCAGAGTGCACCCAGAAGAGTAGCTGGGCCCTGAGACCCTGGAGATAGGGAATTGTCCCAACAAGGAATTTAGAGAGCTGGGCTCCAGTGTTGAAGTTACAGTTGTTATAAATTGTTCTCAACTATTCATATATTGCCATTAAATTTGCATTAAATGTGCTAATCACATTTCTGGGCTGTGAAGTTGAAATGAAGCAGTTAGTCTTCCTTCCTAGGCCAGCAAACCTCTGGAGCAGAGGACTTCTTCCTAAAAGCTTGTGAGACATTTCCTAGGGATGCCTGGCAAGAGCCCGGAGGTGAATGCATTGCAATAAAACGGATAATGGCTTGTGCTAGCATAGTCTAGTTTAAATATGTTTTTCACATGTGCCTTAGCTGTGGCATTTAGCCAGTCGTTCATAGGCCACTGAAAGATATAATTAAATATAGCTGTTTCGGGCATATTCTCTATTGGTTCATTATCCCATGTGAAAAGTTGTCTCCCTACATATCTGTCTCCAGGTAGTTTCTCCCATTGGTGTGCAGGGCAGTTAAAAATAATTTTTTTTAACCTTGTTTCGTTTTAAAAATAAAATCCAACTTTACAATTTTTTTATAATTGACCATGGTCCCCTCACTAGATGAGGTGGATAGAAGATGGCTATATGTTAGGAATGGTACATGAAGCCTCCTGGTAGCACTACCACATCAGAGAGGGTAAACAATTCTGTCTTCACTGTTAAGCATTCAAAATAGTTTAATATATCACTATGAGGAATTACAGAATATATTACCCGTTTTGGCTGTTGTGTACTGTAGAGTCGATTCCAACTCATAATGACCCTGATGCAGGTTTCTGAGAGTGACTTGGTAGATTTGAACTGCCAACCATATGGTTACCAATCCAGTGCTTATCCTACAGCTCCACACCAGGGCTCTATTACCTAGGTCTTATTAAACCAAACCTACAAAATGGTTATTTGGCCTTCAAAGATGTCCATCAAAGAAATTTTGAGTTAATGAGAATAAAAGCTCAATGTAAGCATATAACATAAATGGCAGAACTGACAATTCTTCCTCAGTCAGTTACATCAAAAGGTGCACATAATAAAAAACAGTAATCACTGATAAGAGGGGTATTTAAAATATTCATTTATAATTAATGATAATAGTGATAGATTATCATAACATTGCTAGATTACCTTGAAATATTGTTTAATGATATAACAAGTATCCCTTACAAACAGCAACATATTTAAAAATTGTGATGCAGTGAATTATTTAATATAGGCCCCTCTGGCTATCATCTTTGTGATTCCCGCAAAATGTTTGGGACTACAAGGAGATTGAACAGCCTGCTAAACATGCAAATAAGGTAATGGAACCCCTGTGGGGGTAGGACCATGCAAATAAGGAATCCTAACAAGGACATTGGTCAGTTTGCCTTCTGATAAACTTAAAATGAGCCATTCCAGATGCAAGAAGGCAAGACCTCCCTACCATCAGAGGAAGAGCTGAGAGTGAAGTGTGCCCTTTCCACCTGTACTCCCTAGGCCAAGAACCTTGTAGTTCCTGAAAATAGAGCTGTAACACTGGAGACACCAGGAGAGGACAAGCAGCAGCAATAACATAACCAGGAGACAGGAGCCAAGGCAGCTACAGTGGGCATACCAGCCCAAGGAGAGAAAGATGTGAGCACTATTGGGCCTGAGATTCATGGGTAGAGTGGGGTGCCTGCAGGTACCTGTTAGTGGAGTGAGGCTGCTGACCACCCATGGAGCAAAAGAACTTAAAGGCTTTGGGCTGGAAGCTTGCTGGCAGAGTGTGGTACCTTCAGACACGTATTGGCAGAGCCAGAAGAGCCTTGTAACACTTGTCCAAGTAGGACAGAGGCCAGGCTGAGAGAGGAGTCTGTCCTCAGGGGGCCAAGAGGAGTCCTGCATTAAATAAGGGAAGCTTTGCCTACATGCTTCCTGATCCTGATTCTGAGTTATAACCTGTTACTTCCCTAATAAATTCTTAATTGTGAGTTTGTCTGAATTCTGTGTGACCATTTCAACAAATTGATGAACCCAGCAGAGAAGTGGAGAGTGCTATGTGAGGACTTGCTGTTAGAAATGGTAAAAAGGTTGAAAAAGAGGAAGTATATCTGATTTGCTCCTCATAGGAATCAACCTGATGTTGGTCTTGATTCTCCTTCCCATTTTAAAGTTAGGGGGTTTCGATACCACCACACCATTTTTACAAAAATTAAGCATCTAAACACAAATACAGACTTATCAAATATTTAACTTTTTTTATTATGGAAAATTTTAAACAGGTATAAAAGAAGGGGTGCTCTGGTGGTACAGTGGGTTAAGCATTAGACTACTAACCTGGTAGTGCATGGTTTGAACCCTATGACAAAATGACTCCAAACATCCCTTCCACCACACTTGCTTCTCCTTATCTGGGTTTGAGAATTCATTTCAATGGCCACACAGAACTCCAACAGCATACTCACAGTTGTAGGGTTTCTGAGGGATGGAAGTGTTCAGAGCACGGTTCTTTCATTCAAGACAGCCTCTCTTCTGCTGTGCCCACAGGAAGGACCCTCTCTGACCCTTGGCCTGGGCTTTACTCTGCTTAGGCAGTTACAAAGCTTTTTTAAGGCTGTTGAAAAATGTCCACAGGAGACACCATAAGCCTCAGTCTGAAAGCATTTGGCCCTAGTTCTGTGGGTCAGCAAGCTAAACTCCCCCAACTAAGTGCTTGATGACACACTATTCTGCGTGTAAGTCCCCTGCCCAAAGCAGCTTATAGCTTTACTTGCTCCGTACACTGAGAAGCCCACAGCTGTCTTGTGCTGTCTCTTGTTTTCACTGTTGCTATTCCTCTGTAGGAGTCCTGGTGTGGCGCTGTGGGTTAATACGCCAGACTGCAAGGTCAACGGTTCAAGCTCACCAACTGCTCCTTAGAAACCCTATACAGAGTCGCTATGAGTCAGAATCAACTCGACAGCATGTCACAACAACATTCCTCTGCAACTCTTCCAGTATCACTGCTTTCTGTCCATGAGTCAAGAAGAGCCAATGCCCAGGGGTCCTGGCATCCAAAGGACACATTCTACTCCTGGCTTTTCTTTGAGGTTCCCTCCCTGTTTCTAAGATGACTCATTTTAAACCCATATTAGAGTCTCAAGTTTTACAATCAAAATTAACTGTTTACAAGCACAACTGAATCCTATCCCATCAGCATCTTCTCCCACCTGTTCTTACCCAGATCCATCAGGGGAAAGTAGTTAGGTGGAAGTTATGAAGACTGGTTAGAAGAACCATATGATGTAGTTCACTAAACTGCAACCACCCCTGGATCTTTTATACATGATGGATTAACTGTCCCCATATCATTCCAACTGTAAGCACACCCGTAAAAACTTGTAAG